CCGCCACGTGACTCACCCCGCCTCCCCCACCTCCCCCCTTTTCCTAGGTTTGGTACCGGGCGTCCCCCACCCCAGGCGGGTTACCTGGCTGAAGGGGAAAGGCTGAGCCTCGGGGAGGCCTGGGCCCCCGAGCCAGCGGACTGACAGGTACAGACAGTGGGTCAGTGTCAGACTGGTCGGCGCTGGGCCAAGGCGAGGCCCGTGCCAAGGGAGCAGCAGCAGCAGCAGGTGCTGAGTCAGCGTCAGGCCCAGTCCCACCCCCACTCTCGAGGGGGCGCCCCTACCCTGTGGTCACCTTGCGGCCCCCCACATTCGCAAACACAATGTCACTTCAGCAGCCCTGCCTGTCTCCCTCTGCTTTTTGATGTACCTCTGCCCTTCCTCCTCTCTTCCTCCACCCCTGTTCTGGTTGAGCTGTGGAGTAGGAATTAATCCATTTCAATAAATTTCAATACGTGACACTGAAAGCCTGTGGTTAGAGGAAGCAGGAGGCACCCACACCTCAGCATCCTCAGGAATCCAGGAGAGGGGGGAGAGAGCTTTCCTGGAGGGTCAGAAAGTCGGGGCCCTAGTACTCTATTCCTCCCCTCCACTCTCCCTTCTTTTCCCCCCTCTGATCCCACCAAGTGTAGGAATGTTTTTGGGAACAGAGATGTCATTTTTAAAGATTAATGTGTCTTTCTCTAGAGCCTCAACTTAAAGGCATCGTCACCAAACTGTTCTGCCGCCAGGGTTTCTACCTCCAGGCAAATCCCGACGGGAGCATCCAGGGAACCCCAGAGGACACCAGCTCTTTCAGTGAGAGGGGAAGCCAGCCCCTGGGTGGAAAGGGGGATAGTGGGGCTAGGAGACTAGGGCAATCCCATTCCTGCTCGAGTTTCTGTTGTTTTCAGTCGGCCTCTTTGACTCCCAAGGGAGGAAGTGAAGCTAGGATGGGGGGGAGCTCAGATGGGGATGCAAGGCCTGGGGTACTGATGCCCCCTCTCTCCATCCCCAGCCCACTTTAATCTGATCCCCGTGGGGCTCCGTGTGGTTACCATCCAGAGTGCCAAGCTGGGTCACTACATGGCCATGAATGCTGAGGGGCTGCTCTACAGCTCGGTGAGACAACGAGGCTGAGTGGCTCGGGGTTTGCAGATTCCCCGGCTACACCTTTCTCAACTACAGCTATTTTACGGTTCAGGACTCCCCCCCACGCCAGCGCTTGCTGGTGTCCTGTCGTTACTGCCCTCCAGATACCCCCAGGCTTCTTGACTGTCCAACGCCTTCAGCCTTTCAGGGCCCCGATTTCTCTTCCTACCCCTTCCAGGCTTCATTATCACTCACTGCCCCAGAGTCATTCAGGATAGGGCGTGGTCAGAGGCTGGGAATAGAGTGGAGAGTCTAGTTCAGCGGTTCTCAACCTGTGGGTCGCGACCCCTTTGGGGTTCGAATGACCCTTTCACAGGGGTCGCCTAAGACCATCGGAAAACGCATATATAATTACATATTGTTTTTGTGATTCATCACTATGCTTTAATTATGTTCAATTTGTAACAATGAAATGGGGGGTCACCACAACATGAGGAACTGTATTAAAGGGTCGCGGCATTAGGAAGGTTGAGAACCACTGGTCTAGTTCCTTACCCTCAGGGGCCTACCAGACTCTTCCTTGTCCTTTCTTCCTCCCAGTTCCCACATGGATCAGAAGTTGGCCCTCCCAGCCTGAAATGTATGGATTATATTTTGGCTTGTTCTTCCCAGGGCTCCCTTCTGTCCAGTGATGTGTCTCTTTGTCTCTTTGTCTGTGTGTGCCTTCCTGGGTCTTTGTCTCCTCAGCAACATTTCACAGCTGAGTGTCGCTTTAAGGAGTGTGTCTTTGAGAATTACTATGTCCTGTACGCCTCTGCTCTCTACCGTCAGTGCCGTTCTGGCCGGGCCTGGTACCTAGGCTTGGACAAAGAGGGCCGAGTCATGAAGGGAAATCGAGTCAAGAAGACCAAGGCAGCTGCCCACTTTGTGCCCAAGCTCCTGGAGGGTGAGTATGGACTGGAGAAAATGGGGGCCACGTGGAAGGGTATTGACCTTGACATGGACATTTAGTGACACGCATCTCAGGGGCTACAAGTGTGAGGAGGACCAAGCCAGGAAGACTTTGGCCTTTGGGGGTTTGGGGAGTTCTCCTCCTATGGGGTTGGGGTTCTCAGAGGATGAATATAGGGGAAGGGAGCCCTTTCAGAGCTATGATTCTGCCTAGGTTTCTCTGTGCCTAACTCTCCTTTCTGCTCCTCTCTCTCCCCTTCACAGTGGCCATGTACCGGGAGCCTTCTCTCCATAGTGTCCCCGAGATTTCTCCTTCCAGTCCCCCTGCCCCCTGAAATGTAGACCCTGGACTGGACACTCCTGCACTTGCACCGGTCTAGCCACCGCCACAGCCTGTCTCCCAGCCCTGCTCCTGGACCTGCTCTCACCCCAGCTGCCATACTCATGCCCTGAGCAGCCAGGTCCCACCAGGTGCTCTACCCTGAGGGAGCCTAGGAACTGCTGAAACCCTTAGATGCTTGGATCTTAGAGGTGGATGTTTGAAAATGTCCTGGCTGATCACTTGTTTCCTTCCACACTTATCCCCCCCCCCCTCACCCGCAAAGCCTTTTCCTAAGATGGCACTGGGGGTTTCCAAACAGAGAACAGGACTCAAATACTCCCCTCCCCAGGCTCAGCCAGTTCCTGGAGCCCTTTTCATGGCCTCTGAGCCATAGATTTATAGATCTACTGGAGCTCAGGGTTAGTGTCATTTCCCTACTCCACCTTCTGCCTTGTTCTGAACAGGTTCTGCAACACCAGGCACCTCAGCCAGGGCCATTTCTGCACTAAGGCTCTGTGCTGGATCCACCAGGCTTCCTCAACCCAGACAGACCCCGGGTTTCCAAGTAGAGAGAGGCTGGATTTGAGCCCTGTCCAGCTCTTGGCCTTGGCCTGAATTGGGGCCAGTCTCAGATTACTACAGGTTTAACTTTTTTTATCCCAGAGATACCCAATACTAGAGCATGGTGTTCCAGACACATATGGAGCCATACTTCCTTCTGAACCTCAGCTCTAGAATATAGACCACGACTCTCCACCCTTCCCTCCAGGATGGAACTGGGGCCTATATAGCCATATTATTGCTCTAGAGTAAGTTCTAGACCCATCCTCCCAACTTCTCTAGTGATACCTATTAAGAATGAGTTCTGGGAAGGACCCAGCTATTATTCAAAAAGAATTAAGTCCTGGATGAATTAATAACTACTTCTTGTTTTACTTAGATAATTTTCTAAAAATCATACTCTTCCTCCTAGAGAATGCTAACCTTATTTTTACATGCAGTTTAATTCAGCTGGGGCCAGGGAAATAAATCTGTAGAAGGGCTGAGGAGTTTTAGAAGGAATCCATGGCCCATTGTGGGGGAGCTAGGATGGGGAAGGGGTCAAAATCATGACTTAATTGGACCTGTGTCTGGGTTTGGGGGACATGAACACAGCTACCTCAGCAAGAATTCCTTCCAGATCCCCTCTAAAGCTGAGGTCTTTAGGGAAATGGGTCTAGAATAAAAAGAATATGACATAGACCTTACAGTATACAGACGATGTGTTGTAGAATTGTGCACCTGAAACCTGTATAATTTTGTTAACCAGTGTCACCCCAATAATAATAAAAAACATGATATAGACTTGACCATCCCAGTGAAGATACCCCAATTCAGCAATAAGTCCCACCACTCTCCCCTAAGTCAGGACAAGGAGGGTGAGGGCCTCTCTTGGGTTCCAGAACTCATATAACCCCAGAGCTTCTACCTGAATAGAGCTTGCTTTACTTTACAGCTTATAACCTCGGCTGTGTGTTAGGTACCTAACAAGGGCCTGACTAGATTCTTCTGAAAAAACAAAAACCACGGAGAGCTAGGGGCAGGCCTGGAAAAGATCAGGAACCTACTAGTGAACTAGGAGGTGGGCTCTGGGCAGCCTCAGACCTGGGCAGGGGAGACTGGGGAGGCCTAAAGGGAGGGCTAGAGGGGTTGATGCTTCCCTCCGCCACATAGACCCCGCCCGGGCCCCACCGTGTCCTGGCTCTGCTCCCGGGGGGCCGGGGTCCACTCCCTGCATTCTCACATAAAGAAGATTTATACAACGGATGTGTTGTCTGTTATCCGTGGGTGGCGGGCACTGGCAGTTGTTCGGGGCGGGATCAAGTCCCAGGGGCGGGGCGGGTGGGCTGGCGGCTGCCCCCCAACAACAGGTGCACATTCTTGGGCGCCTCGTCACTTCCCCTGCCCTGGCCATCCCGGTGGCTCACTGAGCGAACTCACTGGACGCGGCCGGGCTATGACCCTAGGAGCGCTGCTGCTGCCGCTGCTGCTGGGGGCGCCGTTCGCCCCGGGTAAGTCTGGGCTTCAGAGGGACAGTGACGGGGCCAGCGGTCATGGCCGGGCACCCTGCTTCACTGAGTGCCCTCCTCCAGGCGCCCGCGGCTCGGAGGCAGAAGGCCGGCTCCGCGAGAAACTTTTCTCGGGCTATGACAGCTCGGTGCGGCCGGCGCGCGAGGT